TTTAGCAGGTTAGTTCTCAAGCCTAAGCCCTTACGTGAGCCAGAGCCCTTAAGCGGTCTAGTCCCCAAACTAGAACCCCCTTCTCCCCCGCCAGACCCGTTTACTGCTCCTTCTCCTCTGTCAGACCCTCTTAGATTTCCCTTTCTAGAATCAGAGTCTCCCAGAGACCCCCTCCAGAGACCCAGAGAAAACTTGGAACTGATGACTGGCCTTATAACTCAATTGATTCAGCTGCCAGGTTTTGTCTAGTTCTCATTACTGTTCATCTGGTTAATTTGACTGTGTGATCTGGTTGAACTGTAAAGTGCCTTGAGATGACATGTGTTGTGAATTGGTGCTTCATAAATAAACTGAATTGAATTGAAGCTGAGTTTAATCAGATCTACCTGCTACAGCCTCTATTTAACCAGCCTTCCACCAGTCATTAGTGCCAGATTTGAGCCTGTGTTGACAGTTCACTACCGTACCTGAATGTTTCTGTTTACCTGATCCTGACCTATTCTGCATTTTGACCCTTGAGCCTGCCTGTCCCTGTTCTGATCTCTTTGCCTGACCTGTCCTTGGAGTCCTGATGGATTCTGCCAGTGTACCAAACCTGGAAATGATTCCTGACACCCTCCTGAATTTCCCTTCGGTACTTCTTTAGACCTCTGATCTCCTGGCTCTGACTTCTGAGCACATCCTCGACACCGGCTGTGGCTTCGCCCTCAGGATTATCTTGCCTACCTTCATTTGCTTGGTTCCGACCCCTCCTGTTCTTCAACCTCTTGGACTTCAGAGGCTGACCCTCTCTGAGTGTCAACCACCGCGTCTTGTTGGCGGCTTACCCGTGGGCACCAACGTCATCCTCTGGGCAGGGACAACATTTTAAGACCAGGTTAGTACTCATTATCATCCTCCGACAGATAGACGTGGTCACTAACCTGTGTTGTCTCTCTGCAGAGGTTCCTGCCTTTGACTATTCTCTGCAGATCAGTTTCTAATTAACTTTTTTAATCTTACTGTCTGTCTTCAAATTCTTGAATACTAGGTCCTACTGTTCTGATTGTGACAGCACCAATGTCTCTCCTCTGTGCTCATGCTGAAGTTCCACATGGTTGTTAGGTGCCGCATGTGCTCTTATATGTGCAAGTAACTGTAAAATGCGCTTACACCACGAAAAGTAAAGAATTAAAAATCTGTTTAGAGTGTAATAATGACAAACGTGTTACTGTCTTTTACTAACTAATTAGTTACATTGATAGATAGTTCAAAATTAAAGTGGCTACTGTGACACGTTATTTAACAAAGCGTTAGTCCCAACACTGTGTTCAGCACATATCACAGATAAGAATTCATTAAAATCATTGAAAAAGTGGTTGTTTTGGACATCTGAGGCCTGTAAACTTTCAGAAACATGGCTCAAGCAGGGTCTTGAAATCAGCATCTCATTGTTTTCATCTAGCCATGTCTGGGTGGGGGGTTTGAGTTGATCAGTCCTAAATGTTAGGCACCATATCAGAAAAGTTCTGTAATAATGAATTCATCCTTAGCAAATGGAGGGACGTCGAAATGGGACAGTTTTATTGCCTGTTGTGTAAACAGTGCCACCTGCTCAAAGAGCCTATTCAGGGTTAATTCTGTCTGCAGCAACAGTTTCACCTGTTCTATTTTACTGGCATATTTACCATAGCTATATATGCAGCAGACATCACCCAGATGTTTCCTATAATATCTCCCACTGCCAATGCTACACTGTCATTACTATACAGAGAGCTACGGGTAATTTTGTTGTCATGCTTCTTTGTCACCTTTGAGAAATCAGTAGACAACATATCTCTACTGAAACCATCCAGCCAAAAGCTGCCTGACATAACCATGTTAAACTAAATGAACTAAAACAAACACTTTAACTGAAGAAAAACCTAATAATTAAGCAACATTCAACACAACAGAAAAAGAAAGACGGAATAAAAGTAGATAATTTTTCATTCAATTCACTCCTCCAACGCTTAGCACTTACCACACTCATTGTGGAAGAAGAAGGCCCCACAGCATGCAGCACTGTCACACCATGAAGACCTATGATCCTTCCAAACAAGCCAGTGAGAAGTGGAAGAAAAAATCATTAGGTGAGATGAGATTTTTAAAATGCCTTTTTTGTTCTATAATTTGTTGACAGTGGCAAAAATAAGACCACAGAAGAATAAAGGCAAAATGTGAGTATAAAAAAACATCAACTTAAGCTGTTAAGTTCAGCTCCACCAGAGGGCGCCATCATCCAGTAGGCGGAGCTCTCCTTGTGCTCTGTGTTCCAGCATTGTGTCAATAATAAGTGTTGCTGTGAAGAGAACAATAGTCAGACTGAATGTTGAACATCAGCTAGTTTCTCCTGCTGATTTAAACCTTGTTGGACAGATGGAACATTGGCTGTGGATTATTCTAGCTGCTCTTTTCTTTGGTAAGATAGAAAGCTCAACATGTTTCCTCTTCAAACACTTGAACACATTACTGAGCTCTACATGAAGAGCTTTAATGTTCATTCTACAGAAAATCAGAGCAGATCATTTCTGCTGCCATTTGTTACCTTGTAGAAACACCTGATATGGTTCAAAGTGACAATGATCAGAGAAAATGACATCTATTCTACATGGAATAGAAGTCTTTAAAGCTGCTGATTGTTCTCCTTTAATCAATCATCTTTATTGATTCATCTCTTCCTCTGCATGTTCTGTTCTTCCTCAGAGTGTAAAGGAGACTCAGTGACGCAGACAGAAGGACATGTTGCTGCTGCTAAAGGAGGCAATGTTACTCTTGAATGCACTTTTGAAACAAACTCCTTTGGGAATCCCTACTTGTTTTGGTATAAAAAAGAAGAAAATAAACGCCCAAGTCATATACTGACCCGCCTCAGAGGGACAGGCATAAATTCTAAGGAGTTCAACAAGGAACGATTTGATGCTATTCTTCAAGATGCATCCATCCCTCTTAAGATCCAGGATCTTCGTCTGTCAGACTCTGCTGTGTACTACTGTGCCCTGCAGCCCACAGTGACAGGAAACACCAGAACTCTGTACAAGAACCTGTAAAGAAAAGACAAAACAATGCTCCACAACCTCCACTAGAGGGACTCCAAATTCAACCAGCAAAAACATTGGGTGATGATGGAGGAACCAAACTTTACTTTGCTCTTATAGACAGCAGCACCTTTACTTGTGCCTCACAGGTTCCCTTTACAGCAGTTCTAAGTGACAGAATTACGTTCTTCAATTATCAGAGTGAGTACACCCACTGGTTCAAAAAGCAGCTAGGTTGGAGATAAACTTGCATGTATTCAAGATATACAAAGGTGGAGAGAAACTAGTTACATATACTTTCCTTACTGTAACCACCTGCAGTTTGTTTGTACTGTGTATTTTTCAAAATAGTTTTAAAACATTAAGCTTAAATTTTACTTAAGTGGGTTTTTTATTTTGGTTAGTTTTAATATCAAACATGTTAATGAATAAATATTTAAATTTAAAAATAAACTTCAGGAATCCATCCTCTTGTTTGGTAGTTGGATCCCTACATAAAGCTATATAAACAAGCATTGAGAGGCAATACAATTCTTTCCCTTCCTACCACTGATCTGTTGACATGTTTTATGTGATGCATTTTCTAACCAGTCTAGGAAGTATTTTCTTTTTGTACTCTTTTAACCTCTAGTTATTTATCACCATAAGTCTGTCATTGTTTGGATGTTCACTGATCTGATCCACCTCCTGCACTGATTTCAATTCAGTAGATCTATATAGTGATATTTCACAGCACGTCATCACAAGACAGTTTATAGAGATAAAACAGCCAGATTGGTTAAATGTTTCTCAAGAAAACCAGCAGATTACATCGACTCAATGACTTGAAGGACATGGTCCCCCTGGCTGAGCATATGGCGACAGTAGATATTCTCTGGCATTTTGCCGTTGCACGTAGACGCACTGATCTATAAATCATTTTTATATTACAAAAAGTAACAGTAAACTAGCTCCACAGGTGGCTCTATCAAGGAAGAGCTGTTACAGTAGATGAGCTCTGATCCAGTTTTCATGTCAACGGGACAAAAGAAAGCACATCCAGC